ATTAGTGTACAAAGCATCTTAAAATAAATGTTGAAGTTTCTTAATTTACACCATGACCATAGCAACAAGCTCATAGCAGAGATTACGTTTGATCAAACACAACGCATGGATTAAGGGCTGATCAGTAGGCTTTGTCAAGGTTTAACCTCTGGTTGTAAGACAGAAAACACACACACACACACACACACACACACACACATACTCAAAAGGCCAGTTGTCCTGTAGGGCAGCTTTAAGCACAGTAGAGCTCAGATAAAAGACGTATTCTGCTGGTTGGCCGATGATTTTCTAAGTGCTAATCCTCTTTTTTTCTCTCTCATGTTTGAAACACAGGTCAAGGCTGTGTAAGTGGCTATATTACAGCAGATGTACAGAGTGATTTTTAAAAAGCTTTCTTATTTTTCTGAGGCGTTGGAGACTAAAGCTCTTTGCTGGAAGAATGAAGGCGAAGACGAACCTACTATAATGCCATGGCCTTGACTTGACAATCCATTTCCTAAAACTTCAGTAAAGCACAGATATGATTTTATCCCACTGATAATGCTGGTCTACCATTTTAATATTCAAGAGCTTCTCAAGAGCAAGGCTTATTAAAAAAAACAAACAAACATTAAAAAAACAACAAAAAAAACACTCTTTACAATGATACTATTCAGTGCATATATATAACATTTTAAGATGCTAATAAGATGGGCTATGTTCATTTTATTTGCAGCTTTTTGGAAATGAGTAGTAATGCGACCAAAGTAGTTTCTAAAACCTTAAAATAATTTTCAGTGAGTGAACATACTATATGTAACTTTGCAACAGCAGTGAGCAGAAGCTGGGCAAATATGGTCTAAGAGCAAATTTAATTCCAGGAAATAAAAATGGATGTTTAAAAAAACATGTAGGCTCCTCAGTCAGTGACATTTCCACCGTAATCTACCCAGCTTTAGCTCATCATACCTTTGTGCCTCATTTACATGTAAAGACCCAGGAAAATACTTATGTTAATCACAAAATAAATGAGCGGCGATGTAGTTACCATGGTTTCAGAGTAACAAAATTGAGTTTTCTTCTTAAAAACTCCAAGGGAAGAGCAATTAAGTACAAGCAACACAAATTACTGCATGTTTTTCTCCTGATAATGTGAAAAAATATAGCAGCACTTGGCTCTTTAAGTTGTTTTGGAGAGATGATTAAACTGTTACTTACTGTTATGAATACTCATAACTACAGAATATTAGTAATGGAGTAACAAAACCTTCGCCTCTTTCAGTTACAAGATGCGTTACATCAGTTGGGGCCAACTCTATTTTTTTTTTTTTTTTACTACGGTTACTATGGTTCTGCCTCCTATCCTTCAGCGTGGAGTCGAACAAAGGCTAAATTCTTTGGCAGGCAGCATTAGTTGGCTGGCAAGAAAATAGAATTTAATATAAAAGATGTTTCAGGGTTAAGCAAAGTCCTCGAGGTCCAGTTGTGTGGGTGCAGTAATTCAATTTAGATAGAAAATGTGTGTATGACTTTGTGTTTAAGGATGAGAAATTCCCCACAAATCCCCGGGCCAGCCAAGAAACAACACCGAAGTTTGATTTTGTTTGTGTGCGACTGTAAGAATGAGATAGAGGGAGGAGTGACAGTTTCATTGTTTACCTCTAGCTGTTTGCGCCGACAGCGTGATGACAGTGAGCCAAACGCACACTGACCCCTGATGAAGCTCGCTCCCTCGGTCCTCTCTCTCTCTCTCTCTCTCTCTCTCTCTCTCTCCCTCCCTCCCTCCCTCCTGCCTGCTGGTAACACTAATTGCTTAAACATGCAGTCCTTTAGTTGTCATGGAAACTATTTTATTGTCATTTTATTGGAAATGGTGGCCTTGAGCTTTATATTAGCTAGCTACATAACTATAACAAAATGCTTTCTCTGGCTCTTTTGATGCGTCTATAATATTCTTAAGAGCATCTTTCTCCCCCTCTGGTAGCAGACGTAACTTGCTTGACTTTCTCGAATTATTCACTTGTCATCATCATTTACTCCTCATCTTCTTGCACTCCTTCATCTTGCTCATTTTTCTGTTATTGTTCAAAATCATCCTCATTAACATCCCCCTCAACTTACCCTTCATTTTTGTCATCTTGCACTGTCTGCTTCCTCTCCTCCACTTATCCTCTTCACTGATTCCATATAACCTTTTTTCTGATTTTCTGTTCTTCTATTTTGTCACGCATTTCCATCGTCTCCCTGTCTGCCGTTTCTCCTCTTAGTTTTTTCTTCCTTCTGCTTATTTATATTCCTGAATCTCACACTGTATCCTCATCATCATGATCCTACACATTTTCTCTTTGTCACTTCATCAGCTCCTTCTCCTATCCCACCTCTTTTCTTAATCCTTCATCCCACATACCTCCATCAGCTGCATCATCCTGTCCTCATCCTCCTCCATCCATTTTCTGCTCTCCTTATCTTCTCCACCACTCTCCTAAAATGTGTTTTTCCTCAACAAAGTCTCTAAAAAAGTCATTTTTCCTCTTTCTCCTCTTCATCCTACCTTTTACTGGTGTTTCCTTCCCTTTTTAAATCACCGGCGGCAGCCTCGTGAGCTCGAGCACCTTGCCACCCTGTTGACTTGCTCTCTACTCTGCATCCTAATGTGCTTCCCTCAACGTTATCTCCTGTAGCATTGCCTCTATCTAAATGTTTAGTATGCACACTGTGTCCAACTGGGGCTTTTGTCACTGGCTCTGTACATTATTGAAAGCGAGCAGATCACTAATTCATGTCAGCTGAGCCTTGTGGGGTTTGCGTGGAGGTGGGTGGGAGCTTGTTGCTTCTTGAAGGCCTTTCATGTGGCTTGAACCATGTCTTAGCCATCACATCCCACACCTCTGCTCTGTCCTCCCTTGTCTCCTCTGCTGTCTCCTTTCACATCTTCTCATTTCACCTCGCTCTGGCCTTATTAATGACCTCTTATTCTTTCTTCTTTCGCTCCCTTTTCCTGTCCTTTCCTTAGCTCTGTCAATCTCCCATGATGTGGCCCCTCTGTCTCTGTACAACCACTATCCGCTGTATAGAGATTTCTACTCACTCTGTTTCCTGCTGTAGTCGCTTTCCATCTCTCCTCACTCCCTCCCTCATTCATTGATGTCTAATCTAATTGCTTTTGCTCTGACCCCGGGGACCCGGGCACAGTGTAACAAGCTCCCAGTGGATACACTCTGCCTCCGCCTTCATCGCTGCATCCCTGAATCGCTACTTTCTTCTTATCTGTTTCCTCACCGACTCTTCCCAGTGCATTCATTCATTAGCAGCACTAATGCCGTAGCCCCAAGACGCACAGCGTGATATTGTGATCCTGCTGGCTTAACTGAATCTAATCAAAGGCTGACTAGAGCACAACATTGGGTCAGGAATGACCAATTGCAACAGGTTTTTCTCTTTTTAAATGAGGAGTTTTTTTCTAAACCGCATCTTAGAGTGGGCCACAGAGAGAGGAGACGAGTGGTTGATAGAGTGGGATGAAGTAAGATTCAGGGCAAAAGAGAGAAAAACAAACAAGGAGAGGAGGGAAGGGAGAATGAAAAAATGGGGAAAAGACAACATGATAACATGGAGAGGCTCGCAGGACCACTGCAACTGAAATGTAATAGAAAAGGTGAAATATGAAGATGCAGCCCAGTGAACTAAAACAGATAAGCCATTGCACATTTTAACAGCTTTGGCTCCACTCAGAAATAAGGATTTTGGAAGTGTGACACACATTTTAACTCTTCTTTTCTCCTTGATCCTACAGTGCAATAAGACATCTGTGAATAGTGTCACCTTAAATGAAACCTGAAGCAAAGACACACTGGCTTACAAATCCTGCTGTGTTTGAGAGCCTCAAAATTTCCCTGCACCGAATTCCCTGTTGATCTGCAACTTATTTCCACTCACTGTTTGCTCGATAGTGAGGATGTGGCATAAAAAAACATGAAAGAAGCTGAAATTCTCCCAACAAGTCCTCACGCATCACACTTGGTCCATGGTGAGATAAGCCGGCAGATAGTGAATGAATATGAGCAGTGCATTTGAGAATAACCTCAGGTGTCTGTCATGTTGCGTGAAAGTGTGTGAGCACAGTGAACAAATACCTCAATATTGCTCCCTGTTTCACTTTGACATGAAGCTCAATGACAGAAGACGACTCAACATCACTTTTAAAGTGAGAGCCATACAGTTTGTGTGTGTGTGTGTGTGTGTGTGTGTGTGTGTGTGTGTGTGTGTGTGTGTGTGTGTGTGTGTGAGCTATGAGTCTTTTTTTGTCTCATAAATATTAATGATAGAACACCAGCATAAAGATCAAAACGTTTTTTCCTGAAGGTTAATAGGTCAAATGCGTTGATCAAAATCTAGTTGTTGCACACACTCCTCTCATTAGAGGCATTTAAAGAGAATCATTTGATACAGATACTCTGATCTTCCCCTCGGCCCTCCCTAGTGTATACTCTCTTTCTCTCTCTCTCTCTCTCTCTCTCTCTCTCTCTCTCACACACACACGCACGCACGCACACACGTACACTCTGTAGGTCCTGTGGGCTCAGGCACTGGGCTGAATGCAGATATCTCTCTTTGAAGTGAGCAAGCTTGCTATATATGTGTTCGTCTGTGCGCGCGCTCACACGCACAAATACACACATACACTGCTTGCTGTGTTGGTGCATGCTTCTTTAATCAGATCAGGTGTTTAATTATTAATGTGTGTGTTACAAGAAGCAGAGGCAGAATATGCGAACAGTTATGACCCTGCAGCTGTACTGTTTAACCTTTACTGCGTGTGTGTGTGTGTGTGTGTGTGTGTGTGTGTGTGTGTGTGTGTGTGTGTGTGTGTGTGTGTGTAAGAGAGAGCTGCTGTGTGTGCATGCATTGTAGGGTTTTGGAGACAGGTCTTGCCTTCGAGCGAACGTGACAGACAATATACGGGACACAGACGCCTCGGGTGACACTTTAAACATTTGTTCTTTCTCTGTGTCTGTCTGTAGGTGCGTGGAAATCATCGCCAAGGAGGGGAGAAGTCTGAAGGAGCTCTACCTTGTGTCTTGTAAAATCACAGACCACGGTAGGATACTTTCAATCGCCGTCCCTTTGTTGCCGTCAACCTCCAACATTATTATCATAACCATTATTACCCACAGTCACTACCATGATTCAGGACTCATTTGATTTTACGACTCGCCCCTTATGAGACTTGCAAACAGTAAAAATATTATTGAAAAGTTTCACACAGAATTAAGCAAGGTTAGGTTGGATCTCCTCGGTGCAGTTCATAGATGTTCACACCGTGCTGTGCTCTACTGTAGGATTTCTATGCATTTGCTTGTGTTTCTGGATTATAGTGTTGGCTGACAGGAGACATACAAGGTGTTTTCCATCCCAGCATACAGACAGGCAGCCTTTATATCCCTCTAGCATCATCTCCCCTTTTCATTTTGTTTACTTTACCTCCCTCCTCTGCTTGATTCCTTTCTGCCATATGCTTTGCAGAATATTTTAGTCTTTTATCACCTGCAGTACAATAAACAATCGGAGTACTTCAGTACCGAAGCATCACCAATGCTGTCAAACACTGCTTGTATGAATTATTTGATTCCTTGTGTGGCATTGGGTTTGTCTGTTTAGTTGTGGCAATGCCAGTGTGTGTGTGTGTGTGTGTGTGCGTGTGTGCATGCGTGCGTGCGTGTGTGTGTGCGTTTGTTTGTTTGTGCATTTGTGTCCCCAGGGAGTTCCACAAATGAGAGGTACCAGCTGTGAAGCCAAAGACTTTTTTTTTTTGGTGCCTTCTTTTTTCAAGAGGTGTTCAATATGACACAATCTGAAGTTCCTTTTTTAAAATTTTTTCGTCGCATATCTTTGGTCCAATCACATTTTCAAATCAAAATACCAAAAATCCCCATTGTGGTCAAAACAAAGCCCTAACTCGAATCAATCATATTCGCTTCAGTTTGATTGTCAAAGTAAGTTTAATTTGACTTTTGTTTTAATGAAGTTCCACATACTTGCAATAGAAATGGTTTGTGGCAGTTTTGTCTTGCTTTTATATTACCTTAACTCATCATTGTCTGAATAAATTTCCCTCTTCAAAAATGCACAAAGGGACTAAAGAGATCCTCTGCTTGTTTATTTCACAGAGTTTTCTTAAGTTCTTATTGCCTCAGTTGCTTGTTTTTTTGACTTTGCTGTTGTCTGAGTGATTAGACTATTGAAAATTGCACAAAAAGACTACTGAGATAAGAGACAAGCACGCCTTCTGCTTGTTAGTCCCATGGTGTTTGCTTGAGAGCTTAGGGAGCTTTGGCTGGGTCGGGAGCTGTTTTTGTTGTGGGCCTGTAAAGCTCATCGAGGCATTGTATAATATTCGGATGTACAGATTAACTTGATTTGTATGATGCTGTAGTATATATGATGTCGGCTCTTAAAACCACAGGTTAGCCTGCTTGAACATTTGTTCTTGAACAGTCATAGAAACTTGCCGCAGTTATTTTACCTGTCGATCTTGCTTTCTTTCTCACTTGTTTTGTTTGGTAGTTGTTGTGGTTGACGCATATTCAACCCAGTTTAGGAGGAGAGTCATGAAACTGCCCGCGAAATCCTGGGCTGTGATAGTGACCCACCTTATCAAATAAAACACACTGGCCCAAAAAGACTTGTTCCCATACACAAATAAAATGTGCAAAGTCAAGCTGTTCATATGTGTGAGGGAGCTAACAGGAAGTCAGATGTCTTGCCCAGAGGAAGTTTCTAAGGTGTATGCTCTCTACTGGCTCAGCTTGAGAAGGACTCTAGTGTGCATGCTCAGTGTGCCTCAAAATGTGCAATCCTGCAGAGGCCCTGTGTTCCCATTGAGTAACTTTTTTGAATAGGGCAACATCTAGGAATAAGATATCCAGTTTTTTTTTTTTTTTTTGCATACATCGATGATGCTGGCCCATTCAGATCCATTGCAAGCTGCATCATTATATCTGTCTGAATCGGATGGTTGTTCATTTTGTACTTATGGAGGCACGGTAGTTAGGAATTTACAGCTCCAGTTGTTGGCCTCTTTTCTTAACTTTGGGGGACTCCAGAGAGTTCTTTATCTTTTTTGCCCTCAGTGAACCACCACTATTTTACCTATTCTGCAGTAGTTTTACTCAGTAGTTACAGCAGATATGGAAAATAAGGTTTGATGCTATGCATTAAATTCTCAAGGTTTCTGCCAGGAAGTTGTGATTATGTCATATGTGTTGCCGCAGAGTCGAATGGTTATTCTCCAACACGAGCTGCAGTTTGCTGCCAATGTCTGTGAGTTACAGTGACAATAATCACCTTGACCTCTCTGAACCCGAACCTTAACTGTGTGTGCGTGCGTGTGAAACATTATGTGGGTGTGTGTCTACTGGTGTTTGATTAATGACTCCAAGATCACAATAGTACATTAAAACCTGGAATGCGCACAAACACCCCCTTATATATGCCTCTCTTTCTGTGTGTCTCTCTAATCATTTTGACCAAGATGAATTGGTGATATCTGATCTTCTTCCTTCACTAATGACCCCTCTGGCCCTCTTTGGCTGATGATGGGGTCTGTGTGTATTTATATTTGTGTGTACGTGTGTCCTTCCATGATAGAGATGCCTGTTGTAGGAGCTCTGCGCTCTAACAAAATGATTGGTGGATTTCCTGCTTCAGTCTCTGATAAATTAAATAACAGAAATGAGATTTTACATCTGCCAAGCCGGGCCCCCGTTTTTTTTTTTTCCGCCCATCTCCTGTGCTAATTATTTTTATTAATGGCCTCACTGAGTGCATTTGAGATGTCCACAAGCCTCTTACGTTTGAGTGTTCTGTTTTTTTTTCCTCCCAGCTTTTGCTTCCTGTGTGATTTTATAGAAGCTTTGAGGACAGGCAGAGAGAGAGACATAAAGACAGGTTTAGATGACAGAAAGAGAGAGCGAGGCAACATGTAATTTTACTCCCAGTGCAGATGGTTTTAGGGATTATTTTGTGAGGCAAAGGAAACAAATGGAAAAAGCGAGGATAGAGCTTTTTTGGCGTAATGATCTTACTGAAAGCCCTATTAGTGCTGTGGAGAGAGAAAAAAAAAGAACTTCTTAGACTTCTCTCTCATTCATCAAAGAACATAAAATCTAATTAGCTAACATTTTGGTTGTAATCAAGGAAGTGTAGAGACTTGCTAAACACCTGGTTCCTTTGATTCACGTATTTATGCATTTCAGTAGCTGTTGGTTTTTCCACACCTGTAATTTAGGATTGATGATGAATTATGATCATGTTACTGAAGATTTTGTTAAATCTCTAGAAGTGCACCGTCCAGATTTCCTCCGTCTTTCATTCATTTTTCACTCATTTTTCTTTGTGCTATACCTAATCTTTTTGTACATAAGGATAAGATCTTTTCTAACTTTGCATTTTTCTTTGTCTCACTGACATTCTCAAAACCAATTAACACCTGCCACACATACACAAGTCCACATCCACACACATGTATCAAGAGGTGGCAGTTTTAAGTGTAGAAGGTACAGTAGAAAATTATTTACTTTATTTGTTTATTTTTAAGTATTTCAAGATAAATAAAAAACCTTAAACTACAATATTTGTTTGTTTTAAGGCATTGGTCATTTCATTCATTCACTCATTCATTCATTCAACCTTTATTTTAACTCAGAGATGTTGAAATAGAGACCTCATTTACAATATAGTGTAAAAAAAGATCCTTATAAATTAATGAAACCCAGTGTCTGTCACGCCTCACAGAGAGAGAGAGGGCCACCCAACCTTAGCATACAGCTCACAATGATGAGTATTATAATTATCACCGGTAATAAATCTTAGTGCAGAGTGATAAACAGCATCCAAGGGCTTCAGAGTCGCAACCGAAGCATACATGTGTAAAATGTCACCATAATCCAAGACTGATAAGAAAGTTGCCTCATTAAGCGTCCCTCTACAACACAGAGCTTTTAGTCCTATAGAAAAAAACAATTTGTTTTTCCTTAATATGCTCACCAGTTTAGTAGCATGATATTTAAAAGTTACCTTCTCATCAATCCAAATTCCAAGATAATTGCACTCTGTGACTCTTTCAATATTTGTGCCATTCTCAGTAGAGATAATGAGATCTTCATCATCAATATTTTTGGCTCTGGTGAAAAACCTGAATTGAGTTTAATCTGCATTAAGAACTAATTTATGGTTTTTGAGTAGAACTTGTAATTCAGCAAAGCAGCGCTGATTCAAAAAAAAAAAACCCAATTAATTTAGTTGACATTTTATGTCTCAGTATTTGATATTTCTATAACTACAGAAATGTGGTCAAGGATATCCAGAAACAGTGTATGAAGTATACCCACATCTATTCAGACACTGGGAGTTCTCTATAATTCTTGGACTCCAAAAACAGGGAAATACATATGGAATACATTTAGTATTACCCTGAGTCCCAAGCTTATTTAGATAATGCAACTTACTTTTCATTAGGGGACCCTCCAGCTGCAGACCTCTGAGCAATTTTTAGACCTGACCCTTTGTTTAAGAACCCCTAATCTACCGAGTGCCCACTTATCACTGCCACTTGTGGGGTTTGAGGGCTGCAGAGACTTTCCAACACATTCGCTAATTTCATATTTAAATGGGGCGATAGTCAAGATGATGGGGTCTAGAAACAGATTGCCTGTGTTGTAGATTTTGGAAAAAAAAAAAAAAAGCATGTCACTGCTTTATCTAAAATCAAAGTAAAGAAATCTGGCCTCTCCTAAGCTCATGAGATAGAGAGGTTAATTGAAGTGGTTTGAGATAATGTTAAGGAAAATAACATTTAAAAACAGTATATCCTTCCCTTCTCTTCCAGTGAATGGCGAGATACCATGAGGTGACTGGTAGTGACGCAGTTAAAGTCATGACAACACTTGCCAAACACCCACCACTTTTTTTTTTTATAACAATTCACACATGTACATGAAAATTAAAAAAAGACCACCTGAACTCCTTATTCACATAGGCATACAGATTACAGATACAGTCTGCCCATTACCCTTGCAGAAATAAAAGTACCAGTATAAG